TCCTCACTCTGGTAGCATCTCTTTGGGACGAGAGGAAGCAAAACCAGAAAGGACTTCTGGAGAATTATCAGATCACATTTTAAACTTTTTTTTTTCCTAACGACCAAAGATCACATATGCTCAATTTGGAAAACTTAGCCCAGAAAAGCACAAAGTATAAACCCCACATCACCTGTAATCTTGCCATCCAAAATATTTTGATGCCCGTCATTATTACGTTTAGATTGATTTTTTTTCTCATGTATGTTGTATATACCAACTTTTATAGCTGCCTTTTCCCCTTAAGTAATACATCAAGGACACTTTCTCATGTCATTAGATCAAGCTAACACTGTGAAACTCCTTCTTGGGCCAATAGGTAGACACTCCAGCAGTGAAGTCACTCAATCTCACGAAGCCCTTTCACCAGGCGCCTGAATCCCTGCACGAAAGGCCCCAGCTTCTCTCTAACAAAAGGTAAGGAGAGAACTCTGCAGACAGGCTGAGAGTACCCAGAAAAGGCTTCCTACCTGTCCTCAACCCATTCTTGCTGCTCTAAACATCTCTCTATAGGCTGCATGATTCAGGAGGATCAATCACTTTTAATGTTAAATTGGTCATAGATACCCAGGCCAGTGGCTTTCTGGCTTGTTTGAGCACATCCCCTTCAGCCCTTCCCCTTTAATCTGACAGCCAGTAGACGGTGTGCCATGGCAACAAGAGACAAGAGGTTCGATGTGCAAGCCCTGGTCCTGAGCCCTGAGCAGGAAGAAGGGGGCTGGCAGTAGAGGAGAGGGCAGAGTAGCGTGGGAGAGGGGAAACGGGGAGATGTTGGTGCTCATGCAGAGGGTAGTCAGCCTGCCAGGATACAGGAGAGCGTTGGTAAAAGACTGCCTTATCACAGATTCAGGAGAGATGTGAGCAGCGCCCCCTGAGGACAGCCCTGAGCCAGTTTTCTAACGATGGCATGATCCAACAGGGCCTCTCCTCACACAGAGGGCACCTTTTGAAGGCAGATTCTTTCTCATGCCATGCATGTTGTTATCTCTTTCCAACCAGACAACAACTCCACCACCAAGGAGTGATCCGTTGACTGAGTTTAAAAAGGAGCTGAGATCTCTCGTTGAAAATGTGAAACAGAACTTTTTAAAAAGCAGTTGGGTGGTGGGGGCGGGGGGGTCTTGTCAGAGAGTATCCTTGATATGATGTGATGAGAATGCCACTTTACCTCTGTGGTCTTCTTCTGAAAAACCCATAACCCCAGTTAAATCATCATTGAGGGACATTCTACAAAATACCTGACAGGATTCCTCAAAACTGTCAAGGTCATCAAAAACAGGAAAGTCTGAGAAACTACCACAAATAAGAAGAGCCTAAGGAGATACTATAACAAAATGTGATGTGCTGTCCTGGATAGACTCCTGGATCAAAAAAGTACATTCGGTACAAACTAAGAAAATTTGAATGAAGTTTGGACTTTAGTTAATAATAATGGATGAGAATAGGTTCGTTAGTTGAAACAAATGTGTCATACTAATATAAGATTGTATAACAAGGGAAACTAGTGATGGGGTACACTGAAACTATTTGTACTATCTATGCCACTTTTCTGTAATATAAAACTATTCTTTAAAAAAAAAAAAACCCTGGACTTCTCCACATACCCCAAACTGGCCCTCAGTGTCAGTACATCCGCTTTATCCTAGTTTTAGAAAACATCTCCTGTGTGAGCCCCCAAGCCCAGGGTCAACAACTGTCAAATACGTTCTGTTTGGCTATCCTGCTGTTTTAAAAGGCAGTGTAAATCCATAAAAGAAAAATTGATAAGTTTGACTTTATTAAAATTAATGCTGCTCTGTGAAAGACACTGTTAAGAGAATGAAGAAGCAAGCCATGGACTGGGAGAAGATATTTGCAAACCATATCTGATAAAAGATTTGTATCCAAAATATACAAAAAACTCTTATAATTCAACAACAATTTTTAAACGGGCAAAAGAGCTGAACGGCCACCTCACCAAAGAAGACATGCAGATGGCAGATTAGTGTACAATAAGATGCTCAATATCATAAGCCATTAAGGAAACGCAAATTAAAACAACAGTGACATACCATGACACACCTATTAGAATGGCTAAAATCCAAAAGCATGACACCACCAACGCTGGCGAGGATGCGGAGCAACAGAAACTCTCATTCATTGCTGGTAGGAATGCAGAATGGTACAGCCGCCTTAGAAGACAGTTTGACAGTTTCTTATAAAACTAATCACGCCCTTTCCATAACATCCAGCAACCACACTCCTTGGTATTTACCCAAAGGAATTAAAAACTTATGTCTGCACAAAAACCTGCCCATGGATGTTTACAGCAGCTTTATTCATAACCGCCAAAACTGGAAGCAACCAAGATGTTCTTCAAAAGACGAATGGAAAAATAAACTATGGTTCATCCAGACAATGGAATGTTATCAGCACTAAAAGGAAATGAGCTATCAAGCCATGAAAAGACGTGGAGGAAACTTAAATGCATGTTACTAAGTGAAAGGCTACCTACTATATGACTCCAACTATGACCTTCTGGAAAAAGCAAGACTTTGGAGACAGTAAAAAGATTGCTGGCTGCTGCGGGGAGAAGGGAGGGTGGAAAGGATGAATGAGGGGACACAGGAGATTTTTAAGTCAATGAAACAATGCTGTAGGATACTTTAATAGTAGATATATGATACTGTGCAGTTGTCAAAACCCATAGAATATACAACAGAAAGAGCAAGTCCCCATGTAAGCTATGGACTTCACTTAATAATAATGTATTAACATCAGTTCATCAGTTATAACAAATATACCACACCAATGCAAGATGTTAATGATAGAGGAAACACCAACGGGTGGGGGATACAATGGAAGGCTCTGTACTATCCACTCAATTTTCTATAAACCTAAAACTTCTCTAAAAAATAAGCCATTAATTTAAAAAAAAAAAGAAAATGGAAAGCAGCGTAAGTAGACAGTTACACTGCTCTATGGCACTACAGGCAGCTCAGCACTAGTGTCCTACACAGACCCTCTCCGTGCTTTCGCTTGGGTACCTGCCAACCTCTGGGGCACTTGAGTGTTCAACCCTTGTATACCTTCCTCCTTCCTCACACAGGGCCCCCTCCCTGAAACCCCGGGACTCCACAGCGCATGTTTGAAAAACACTGATCCAGGCCAGCCAAGAGCACAGAGCTTCCTCGAGTCTGGCTCCATTCTGAGCCTCTCGTGTGTCTGCCACATGTGAATAAACTCTCCTCCCAGTTGTGAAGCTCAGAACCCCTGGTTATTTCTCCAGCTTGTTTCTGAACTCTACTATAGCTCCTACTGGTATAAATATCCTGCCCAACAAATAGGAAGCCCCATCTCTAACTTTTATTTTACTTCAAGGATAATTTTCTCTCTCTCTCTCTCTCTCTCTCTCTCTCTCTCTCTCTCTCTCTCTCACACACACACACACACACACACCTCTCTCTCTCTATGTGTGTGTGAGATGGCTGGGGGTATCAAGAAAGGCCCAGTAAACACAGCCCAGGGCTATTAGGTAGAAACAGACTACACCTGCCAAGTGAAGTTCAGACCTTGAATTTCAAAGGTGCATATCAGATCACCCATAGGAGTTTTTCCTCAAATATTACTACTAGAACTCTACCCAAGCCCCTTTGATGACTGCTGGGAAGAGAGTCTTTGGGGAGATGGTTCTCAGGTGGGCCCTGGAGCCCTGTCATCTGTGTGGCAGCTAGTATTATGGTCAGATTTCTCCCTCAGCAGAGAAAACCAAGTGTCCTGAAACCAAGTGTTAAGATACCTCGACTGTGAGTGGTTGGCACCCCAAATTCCCTCTCACACAGTAGTTTGGATACCAAAAATTACGGGTGGAAAGTGCTGAGACAGGATCAGAACCCAGGCCGGCCAGTGTCTGGAAGAGTGATGACGAGGTTTTGTTTGCTCCATCTTTTGCGAAAGTCTAAACTGAAGGGACTCCACCCCACTCCTCATGTCAAGTTCCTTTAACATAAATGACTGCCCTTTTGGGCACATGTATGTTCTGTTGTTTAGTAGGCGGTGGCATTTTCCCACCCATATTCTGTACTATTTCATACAAACGTGCTTTCTTTATATTCTGCCAAATGCCAGGTCCTCCTGCTCAAGGCCTTCACTCTGTCAATGTGTCCATGGTCTGATTTTCTCAAGGAGCCAGGATTTTTAAAATGGAAATCTGTGCTTCCTTCGAAGGCCAGCCTCTGACTGGAAAACCAGAACTCCCTCCCTGTTGTTGGCCCCACCATTTCAGCTGGGAAACCCTGGAATTAGTCCCCTCATTTTACTAATGATTTCTTTCTTTTTTTTCTTTCGTCTCCCTCCATGTGCTGCTTTGTCCTCCTCTCACGCTATCAGCCAAGGCTGCCGCTCCTTATTGCTTGTCCATTCGTCCACTCTGCTGCCAGCCTTTACCTGCCAGCATCTCTAAGAGAGTGCCCACCATAGACTAGGTCTAAGAACTAGTCACTGGGCAGGGCCTCCTAGGTTCTCCTTGTAAAACCCACCATTAGAATCATGCTCCTCCTCCAGCATCCTCTTTGTCTGAGAAGTAGGGCCTACACTGGCTTTGGCGCTCTTGGACATTCCTTAGGTATTCCAGGTGTGCTTGGCAAGAGGTCTTTAAATCTGAAGTCCAGAACCTTGGATATCAAGAAGTGCATCAGACCACCATTGGTTGACTCCAAGGAGTCCCCTCAGTTTAGACTTTCACAAAAGATGGAGCAAACAAAACCTCGTCTTCACTCTTCCAAGCAGTGGGCCCTTGGGCAAGTCAGTTTCCCACTTTGATATTCCCTCATCTCTTTTGTAAGATGCATCAAGTTTCCTCAGATGCTATTATTCTATGAGCAGATAAATGTTCCAGTGCCATTGAGGAGCTGCTGGAGGGAGAGAGCAAGAGTCTGGCTGACTCTTTCTACCTGAGCTCCGCTGTGGCTGCTCTTGATGGACTCACTGCTGCCAGGGGCTGGTCCTCTGCGTCTCAGGTTTATCACTTCCTCAAGGATGCTCATACTCAATTTACAACACCAGGAGGTCTCATTATTATTAACATTGTTTATTAATCCTTATTAAGAAAGATAATTAATTCTGATGGCTGATATGTTCTGTCTCTAGAATGTCAACATGAGAAATGAATTCAGTGTCAAAGGCCGATTGGTCAGGAGAGAGGCTAAAGTAATTTGTAACATGATCCTGGTGGTTCAGAAACCAAGCTATGGCATTCAGTGGCACTGGAGCAACTTTAGGATCAGAGGAGTCATTTCAGGAGCCCCAAACCTTCACATTGTGCCATCCTCCTACATGAGCTGTTTTTGAGGCAGCAAGGTGGGCAGCTGGGCCTCTGCAGAGGGTGCCGTATCGCCCATCTGCCATGGTGCGATCTGCATCCCTTCTGCCCTGCCATGTCCATCTCTGCTCCTCTTCCATTTATTTCCAACCTTCACAGGTGTTTGGCACCTGTGAACACTCCCAGGAATCTTAGAAAAGGCTCCCCTGGGGAACTGTTGAGTTAATGACACACTTGTGTGCTAATGACTTGATTTTGTAAAGTTTGCTGCAGCTTCCAAACTGACCTGGACCTTATGTAATCAAAGTATATAC